CTTGTTGTCAGTTTCTATCCAGATTGCCTGAGTGAATGTCTGGAGGTGTAGGCACCTCGGAATGATTGTGTTAAGCTAGCACTAAGTCCCTCTCCCATCCACCTTTATTCTTTTCTTTACAATAAGGCTTTCAAATAAGTCATGGTTGTACGGCAGTGAAGCGTCGGTGTTGAGCACTGATGTCATGCTGTCGATGATGATGTCAATCCTCAGGTTATAGCATCAAAGGCTATGGGTATAACTTCTTTCATATCTCTCCAGTCGCCATCCAAATCGCCATTGTATCCGTCGAGTCTTGGGAACACCTCAGCGAACTCAAGTCGACATTCTTAACGTCCTAAACTGAATGGCACTTGATCAACGCACATGCTCCTGTGGGAATGAGAAGACGCGTGCCCGCACAATACCGTTGTCGGAGTCAAGTAGTGCATCCCAAGTTGATTGACCATTTTGCACCGAATGTCTCCAACGGTAGCTGGTCGCTACATGGGCAGACTCCTGGTTTTAAGCTGCCACCTTGATGGAGGGCGGATTCTAGTGATACGATCTTTGGAAAAGACTCGACCTCAGTCCATTCAAAGGAACCCCTTGAGCGGTAGACTGAACAGTGTAGAACCCATCAACTCATCCTCTGGAAGGACTTAATAAACCTGCATGAACCTTCGATACGAATCCGCTATCGTACTTACCTGATCTGATGATGTGGTTTGCATTCTGCACTCTACAGAATTTTGTGGGTCCCTGTCGGCTTTACACTAAAGTCTTTGGAATGAGGATAGAATAACGATATATTAGTGATTCCACATTTGAAAATACTCAGACCATTGTGCGAAAACCACCGAAGTATCAGTCTAGTGGCGACAGCACTGCACTGGTTGATGCATCATCGTGACAGTTAGATTCGCAAGAATCAAGCTGGGTCTCGCAATTACCGGAGTCGCCTCGAGCATATCCTCCCTAAAACTTCACCTTTCATTCCGACTACCAACAATGATCGTCTTTCTCGATTTCAAATCGTCTGGCTCTATTAATCGTCAGGGACTGGTAGTATCGGGCGATGAAGTTTCCCGGCTAATTTATTGTTTCTTATATCCAGCTGTAGCACCCTTTCGCTGCCTAACTGCCATGCCACACGAAGAAGGCAGGAGGGCTGGGCTACTGCCAGGTTGCCCAAGCCCAAACAGGGGAAGTCGAGTGGCAGAGGTCATGTTCGAACCACGGACCTTCCGGTCAGTAAATTCGCGCTTTAACCACTTGGTCCACCTCGCCCCCATTGTTTCTTATGGAGGCGCTAGATGTCTCTTTAGAAACCTGTGTGTCTACGGCAAATTCTTTCCTGAGTTTGATGTGCATTTCGCTTGTGAAAACTGTTCCTGTAAGGTTGGTTCGGAACGAATGCAAACGTTATACTCGCAAATGTACCGATGGATGTGGTTTATCCGCTGCGTTTATCCAACCGGACTTATGAACAACGGAATCACTCTGAGTAAAGAAGGCCAGGACAACCTCTGAAATTTGTGAGGCTGACGTGACAGCATAACTGTTAAGGGCAGAGTGCACAGTACCTCTTTCTGATCTGTCCTACTTTATGGATTAGAAATATGGCCGCTGTGTTCGAAAGATCTTCAGAGAAATCGTGTGATCATTGGTGCTTCCGAAACATTGTGCTGGTCTAGCGGGGTCATCAGATCAATACTGGTTTCGGTATAATTTCCTCTCTCTCCCCCATCTCTCGGTGGATCAGCTGGTTGCACTCCTCAGGTTACGCTGGTCAGGCCTTGCACTTCATATGCTTGAGGGTGATCTTACCCGTAAAGCTCGCTTCTCCAAGCTTGTGTGGGATGGAAACGACTGAGAGACGGTCAGTCGATGATTTGACAACGAAGAAATCCCTCACTGGCTAACTCGGTCGCATAGGTAACAGCGGTCCTGTCCGATGTCAATCTCGGGACGAGACAAATCAACCGTGAGGTACCCCGACAGATATGGCCCTTCTATCAAGTCTATCGCCTCCACTGCGCACTTATCATTTCCTAACCTACTGGGCGAACAGATCCATTTGTTATCGACGTACAGTTTGGACCATCGCCTCCAACGCGTAGCTTTCACTCCTTTATTTTCCTTGTCTTCGGTGAACAAGCCTGTAGGAGCTGGAATCACTGCCTTTCGGTGCACGGTTTGTAAGGTACAGGCTGAACGGACTGGATTGTTATTCATCTGGACATCTCCTATAGGCGAATCGATCGGGGGATTAGTGAATGTATGTGTCATGATTTTTGTGTGCTTATTCTTATACTTACCATATATACTCGTACTGAACTTTTGTATGTACATTTCAGCTCATGTGCGCTTGTTCTTAGACAAGTAAAACGTTGCTTATCCTCGAAAACCTGGACTCTGTTCTAACTCGTTCTCGGACACTTTCTAAACGTCTCA